GAAGGCTGGAGTTGGGTTCACTTTTCAATGCCATCTTGTCAGTTTGGAGTCAGTAAATCTGAATTTGGGTGTCAGTGTGGATTGTGGATGGGGGCGAGGAGGGATAAGCAAGTGGTAGTCAAAACAGCTGAGTCTGATAACCAGAGAAACGTGTCAGTCAGTACAAACATGCTGCCAATACGGAAAGAAACGGGAGGCAGCACAGACCTCTCGATATGATATTATACTGACTCTGTTAGTGTTTTTTCTTAGGTATTAATAATAAGTATTGATGTTCTGTGGTATTGGCATAATTGTTATACAGGTATAGTTTAATAAGAAATGCAGCCTGTCTTCAAAGTTATAATAGTAATGCTCTTTAATGTTAAAAAAATCAGAACCTTACGGACATGTTTCCTGAGTCTTTCGTCTAAGTATTTGTTTTATTATGTTATACATTACCCTACCATGACAAGGTTATGTACAGCTTCTCTTGTCTTTTAAATATTAGAAAAATGGTTCTTCGCATCGAATTATTTAAATAAAGATCATTTAAACCAGATGTGCATACATGTGCATGGGAAACAAGGGAAGTGAATGTGTTGTTTCAGCCCTGCACTTTAATGGTTGTATAAACATGTTAACATAGTTAAAAATGGCAATTACATGCCATAAATATACTAAAATATTCTAGACATAATAGTAATTAAATTATTAATTGAAAATAAATTTTTTTCTTCCCTCTTATTAATCATTGCTTTGACCGATAAAACTGCATTAAGTGGCTTGAAGTAGCTACAAAACAAACAAACAGCAGTGAGCCTTTATACTCATTCACAATCAAGTTCCTTTGTCTTGCATGTTAGCAAACCTTTGTTTACCCACACATCAGAACAACACAGGCAGCATGTCGTTTATGCTACCCGTCAAATCTAAGTCAAATATTCACTAGTGTTTTATCCCAGGTTTGGCCCCACAAAAATGGTGCCTCCCCTGATGTTTACAGGAAATGAGAGTGCAAGCTCGTAGTGTCATAGCTTTCAGCTAGTGTCTGTACAGACAGATATTTTCATCAGTCTCTGGAGTCCTTTGTCAGGGACAGTGTTTCTGTGAGAAATCTCCCCTGGCATTTAATTTTCACATGAAATGTAATACATTGTGCTGGTCTGCAAGGGACAAGAGTCCAGGTGCTAATGCCCCTGTGGAGGGCCACCATAAGGTGAAGACAATGTTCTAATGTTTCTCATTAAGCCATACATGGTGCTGGAAGTGAAACTGGTACTGCTCTGATTGGTAGTTGATAGTACGTATAATCCTTTTAAATGACAAAAAAAAAAAAAATTGGAGTATACTATATAGAAACACAATAACTATAAAGGGTTAAGGAAGGGCATGTAATTATTTAGTCCTCTACTCTCTGTCAGGGGGATAAATATGCTAAACTTTTATCGCTGGTCAGGCGTTCTTCCCCGTAGAAGATCTGCTTAGAGAGTAATGGATGATACATGGTAATGCAGTATGACCTATTCTCTCAGTATGTTAATATTCATGGTGTTATGATTAATTTTACCCATTGCTTTAACCCACAAGCATATGCCAGCGGCTACACACTGTGCATGGCTTGCATTTATTGGCTCCTGGCATCATCCTAAACTCAGTTTGTCTGGCTGTAAATTAGTGTAAATGGATACCTTAGTGGAGCAATGAGCATGTGTTTATTGAAAGTAATGCCCTGTCACAATCACAGCTGGCAAAAACCAAGCCACTATGACAGTGACATTCATTTGTCTGCAGCAGCGAGAGCATTTTGTGAAATATAGTCCATTTCACAGGCTACATGCTTGTTCTTGCTTGAGGCCATGCAGTCTTGACTCATATGGAACGTTTGTTTACCACATGTACATTGAAGTTGAAGTGTAGTACTGATGTCATGGATTAAATGGTTATCAGGAGCATGTTTTCACTATCAGTTTCTTTTGGAGTTTGTGACGCTATCATGGCACTGCTGCTTAGGGCGTGTGTTTAGTTGTTGTTTCGTATGTGTAAGCCTGAAACTCGTTTCCATTTGTGGTTTAAACTCTTTCATTTAGTTTGATTTTGGTGACGTTTAATCAAGCCTTAACTCATAAATTAAAAAGCACTGCTGCTGTCATATTCCTCAAACTAACATGTGGCGAGAAAGTGAAATTGATGTGGTTGTGGTGAGCTATTTGTCTTCCTGCACATTTTTTAGTTGGCATCACAATGTGAGTTGTGCTACTGATTCATATTATCACCTCAAGAGCTATTGAGCTATGCCAACCATGTTGCACATCTTTGTGACATGCTTTTCTTTGAGTTATTTTGGGGTTGTCTGGGCTGTCTTCACCGACATCCATTTGCTGCAGAAAGAAAAGCCCCTAGCTTGAAATAGCATCTCTCTATTTAAGTGTTTTTGCCTCACCTCCACTCTATGAATTCCTAATGTATTTGAGTGTTGGTCTGTTCTCTAAAAAGGCTACTTGTACAGAAAGAACCAAACAAAAAAGGCTTGGATCAGAGAATAGCAAGTTCTTTCACTTAGGGGACAGATGTGTGTTGCTTCCACATGTTGAAGGTCATGGGCTGATACAAATGACTGACAGTTGCAGGGGTCAACATTAAAATGGGACTGGTGATTACTTGCTTTGGGAGTTTGGCCCAAAGCATGGTTGGAGACACCAATGGCAGATCATGTCTTCAAATATAAATGCCCCTATAATTGAATCAATTGTTCAGTTCTGTGAATCAAGATCAACACAGAAAAAGTAGTTTACTCAGAACACACCCAACAACATTATTAACTGGCTTTTACACATAACACTCATAACAAAGACAACACCTGTATAAAGGAGGCTATTAATGATGTGGCTCTTAATTGAATTGAATTGCACTTATTATTATTAAGATAAAGTTCAATAAAGTTCAATAAAGTTAACTGAAAAGTTAACTCAATCAGTCAAATAAAAAGAGGTCCTGTCAATATTGTAGAGCTGTTGGCTAGTTAACATTGCCTAACCAACCTCAACTTGTCAAACTGCTGTTTTAAAAGTAGAAGACTTGAAGGGACTAGAATACCAGCTCACAGCACAAAGAAACGTATTTGCTTGATAACCATACTGTGGGAGATGCTGTGAAAAAACATTTGGTTGACAACATTAATACACGCTAAATGTAATTTAACAAATTATAGTCAGCTTTTTTTGCATCAGTTCTTGTGCACGCATGCACAGTTCAGCCACCACTGGTAGACAATACCATATAGAGAAATGTTGTGCAAATGCATTAAAGGGCTTTTACTTAAAAAATGCCAAGAAATATAAGTGTCTGATTAATATTTCTTTTAGATTGAAATCTTAAGCATTACCATGACATAATGACACCAGAGCCTCTCATTACTTTACTTAATAATCCAACTTTGGAATTTATACATTCAAAACTCTGCACAGTTGTCACTGATTGCTTAATGGACCTCTCTTGAAATAACTAATGCCATTTTTCAAAACATGTCATTTATAAGTACTTGCTGGGCCCAGTGGTCTACTGTACATTTCCTTTATTGTAAAAGTACCTCTGATGAAAGCTTTCCCCAATCTTTTGTAGGTATCATTTCTTTAAAACACTTACTAAAATTGCCACGTTTCACAAACCCACAACCATGCTTTTAACAAGAACTATTGGTTTAAAATGATTAAAAACATTGCTCCTTGAACTCATGACCCTGTAGTAGTCACTGTCAATGAGTTATCTGGATCACCACACTCTGAGTACAGGAGAGATATTGGAGGAGAAAAATAAGCACATATCTAATTAAAAACTATAAGCACAAAAAAGAAAGTACTTTCCAATAGGCTTTGATGGAAACCTTAACATCAGCTAAAATTATGTCTCTCTCAGGATCTCACACATACTCAGAAGTTATTCGGCATCCAAGGAAGGCAACTCGTGGTGTCTGTAGATAAAAACAATTTATTTCTAAAGTAACAAAAACGATTCTTAGTTTCAGGTGATTATACAATAATGAAAACATGCCTATTCTAGTATATTACATTTCTGCCAATAGATTATTTTAAATGTTACACACTGGTCCTTTAATTCATCTTACATAATAAAGTGCGACTGCCCTTAAGGGTCAAACTGTCAACTTAAGAGACTGCCCAGTTACCACCAATGTGGTGGCTATTAAACAATGTCATCTAAAAACAGACAACCATAGAGGCTTTGCAGTATATTGTCAAGAGACAAATAAGAAAAATGAAGTAATACATTATAAGAGAGAAAATGACACATTTTGGGTTTGTAAAATAACTTAAATGTAAGGTGTATTATTACAAACATTTATTTATAGATGAGTGAATGTAAGTTATTTATAGTTATGTTTCACTGTGGTACCACTAGTGTTTCTTGATAAATTAATAAGTGATCCCTGCCCTAGATTTGTCATTAGATTATTAAAGGAATGACTTGGCTTTATGCTCTGAAATTGCTGAATGGGTGATAATGGAGGCTATGTAAGAACTGACATGGCATGCAAAAAGGTCAACAACTCACTGACATATTTGACTTTTCACAACTGCTGTTATCATTCATAAATGAATGGTGTGAAAGAAAAGGGATAACTATATTAGTTTATGATTGTGGTACAACCTGATTAGGGAAATTGAAGCATTTCTTCACAGAAACCAGTTTTGACTTTATATTGCCTTTCCTTGTCAAGGAAAATACAACATCACTTCAAGTAGATAAACAGGGTACATCCTACAGTAATATCAAACTTGCATGAGAGGAATGTTTGTGACTGAGATTCAGACACAGAAAATAACTTAAATTGCTAATCTGAGTCAGAGATATTAGATTTGTAATTTTGTATGTATTACACTGCAATGTTTCAACATATAAGTGTCATGATATAGATATAGATATATTACATTTTGGCAATATTTGGTACAAAAACATTTCTTTGACTAATACTTTGGTTTCAATTCTTCTTTTTATCCATATAGCGCTTTACTCCTTCATTCTATTCTGCGTCTTCCTATGGATTCCCTTTGTTTATTTCTACTATGAAGAAAGGGATGACGACAACGTAAACAAATGCTCGGTAAGAATGCACCTTTATTCTTCTACACACAGCGCTGTGGCCTGCTTGGATGCAGTGCTAAAGGAATTCAAATGTATTCGCATGATTCAGGTACAGCTGATTATTATGTTCATGCAAAAACGCTTCAAAGTGACTTCCCATTTATTTGCACACATTTACATAAACAATGAAAGCAAGTGTCCATCCTTCCATTTTTATCTTTAGGTTTTCCCTTCAGCTTCTTTGGATACTGCATGAACCTTCACAATACACCCATATCAATCCAGGTCTTAACAGCACAATGTATGATAGATTATATGTTTCTTAAGTAATTTTGCTTTAAAGGAGACCTATTATTCTTTTTCTTAGTTTCTGTCATATATATATAATGTTACAATGTTTAGATGTTGATATTAAACAAAGTGAAAGTGTTGAATAATGAGGTAAATGTTCACAATCCTGTGAGCAAAGAGCTCAGAATTCATACTGCTCTGAATGCAAAGTTTCCAACGTCTTTATCTACCTTACTGATGTCAGCTAGTCACAGATCTCTTTATATGGTTATCGGCTCCAGGCAGAAGATGGCTGAGCACACCCACAAAGTATTAGGACCAGCTCAGTCTAAGTTAAGATAAGTCGGCTGCTCTTCTCAGGCGTCAGTACTAACCTTTCAAGTTTGTGTATGCAGAAAGTGCGTTTTCGGTTGTAAAGGAAAGTTACATATTTTACGTTTTTTATGTCCTGCAGCTTCTGCCTCAACTGTTTGGAATTTATTGAGTTTATTGATCAACATATTAGCCTTACTTGTTGCTATTGGCTAACCTCTATCTGCCGCAACTGCTAACGGACTGGGCGCTTAAGGCTCTGATGATCCTAGCAGTCCAAAATAGGAGGTTGGAAGCAAGAGGATAAAGTGGCGTTTATAAGCACCGGGTGCTGCCCTTCGGCAGACTTACCTAAAATGTGTTTGTCTTTGCAATAAGACTAAAAATAGCATTGAAATGTAATTTTTATAATTGTGTGTGAAAGTAAAAATAGTCCCATTATCAAACCATTGCACTACTGCATTCATGCTATAAATTATAGGCTGCATAGTGTAACCTGAAATTTGAGAAAATTTAAAATCCTTATCTTTTTAGTGAGTGATGTACCAAACACCAACTATCGCAAAGTGCCTTTTCTCCCTTCCTTGTGTCAGTTTTGAGCTGACAGAGGCACTTTCTCTCACAGACAGGGATGTCTTTTGTATTGTTACTTGAAAAGCCCCTTGAATAGCAAGGGAAGCATGGGAGTGACATGTTATCTCTGCCAGGTCAAACTGGATCTAGACTCACTCTATATAGCTCTCACTCTCTATAGTCCTTAGCTAAATGGAGTATGACCCGCTTCCCTCACTCACAATGAATAATGATATTTCACTTCATGGCCACGATTGACCAGTTTAATTTTTTCTTTTATTACAGCAAGTGAAAAACGCTCTGAAGTACACAATTGGATTTGCCATTGTCTGCGTGGTGCTCCTTTTAATTGGGTGAGTTGGAGACATGGATGGCTTCTTCTGACTCAGTACACGATAGGTGGAAGGGGGTGTGGATATGTCATTGTGTTCAGTTAATGAGAGGAGGACCTCTTCAAACAGCCACAGCACCATTTATCTGACCCTGATAAGCTGTTCAAGACAAAAAAAAAAATCTATCTACGTCTAAATATAGCTTTTATTCTTGTATATCTGATTCTAAACTAAATTCCTTGCATTTTCTCTATGTACAAAGCTCATGTGGAGGGAATAGGGAGTCTTTTTTGTGACAATCTATATTGTATCGTCAAGTCTATACTGATGTCCCATTTATCCGTCAGTTTTATACTGGTTGCGTTCAGTAGCACCTGCACTACATAATAGATTTCCTTTGCAGCCGTGACAGCGACATGCCTGGAGTTCAACCTATACGATTTAATGTGCTCTCTCAACCATTAAATGGTGCATTGGAAGGAAGGCTTATCTGGTTTGGGAAAAATAAAGGACACATGACTATACTTTCTTACAGCTTAAAGTTTGGAAGCTAGGACTTTTTTTATAGACAGAAGCAATTTAGCCCCTCTTTTACCTCATGAACTGGAACTAGTGTGGCTTTGTTCTGGCAATTGTTGCTTTGGTCCTTTGATTTTCAACAACATGATAGCTTTTATCCCAGACTGCTTTTCTGATGCCCGGAGACATAATGGCTTTGTTCACTTGTGACTGTTCACTCAGTAGGTCTTTCCTTGATGGCTTTTATTTGTTGTCTTTAAACCTGGCAAGTTGTTTAACTCCTTAAATGGTCCCTGATGCACTGTTATAGGTTTTTTTTTTTTTTCACCACTGCAAATAACTTAGTTTCATATCCAGCCCTCATCACCTTTATTTTAAATTTTATTTGAGATCTAAGGCAACATGATAAATGGCTACTTGTAGTATTTTTTTTTTCTTTCTGTATTTTAATTGGTAATTTGATGAGACACCTTCAGCTTGTTTTTGAAGCCTGGCTGTAGTGTTTTGCACCAAATGGAGCCAGGCTACTGAAGATGACTACTACCACTACTCAAGATGACAAAAAGACAAACTCAGTAGCATGACTAAGTTTGATAAAGTTACATCCTTACTGCAGACACAGCTGTGAAGAGTTGGATAAGGGTTAAGGTCACTTTGAAAAGGTGTTTTCTTTTTTCCTAAAATGAAAAATGACACATAACATGACCGAAGGGAAGCTCATGAAAAAGATTAAGTGCAAGTGTGGACCCCTGGGGATATGCACATGATAGTAGAGCAGATGAGGCCCATTGAGACCTCAAATTCAGTTTTTTTGCATATGAAGCAAAGGGAAGTCTCTGAGATGCTGATGTAATGTTTTTTACCTCCCCTGGTGGAGGTTTTTTAAACTTTCTTTGGACTACCAGTTTTTTTACTTCCTAAAAGAATCCCTGTAGATACATAGAGCACCATATTTCATTAGATTTTTTAGATGCTAAATACTAAAAAGGATTCTGGCCTGTTTCTCTCTTGTCTGTCAACAAGGATAAATGATCAATAGGAAAGGATTTTATGGTTAATGGAATCAACAACCGCTCTGAAATTGAGCATCAATACTGTTGACCTTTTCCTGACTTTAGGCCTGAGAAGTGTTGTTTTAGTAGTGTTAACAAATGTTATCTGTCTGTTATGTATGGAATCTGTGGGTGGCTTATAAAGAAAATTCACCAGTTGCTCAAACCATCACTGCCAGTACAAAGACTTAAGCATATTATAGCAATTATAAAGTATAGAAGGTACCTGATGCATTTTACCTTACTTCTACTAAATTATTGTTTCATAATTTTCAGAGCGTTCGTTCCACTTGAGGCCCCACCTGGTCAGAATTCAACTCAATGGGAGAAAGTACAATACCTCTTTGAGGAGCTTGGGAGTAGTCGTAAGTATATCCTCTAATACTTCCTGTTATTTTCCTGTTATTTTAAACTTCTGTCTTATTTTTATGGTTTTTGTTACCATAACTATCAGATTTGGATTCTTTTATCTCTTTTTAAGTCAGACAATCTCATTCATTACACCCTAACTCTTCATTATTTATATTCATTGCTTCCTTGAAGCTACATCCATTCCACTGCTTCTTTCTATTATCTTCTTTCTAATATCCTGCTATTATTCAGCCTCATTGATCAGTGTGAAGTTTGTTTAGACAGAATTGGGATCAAGTTTTAGATGAGTTGCCATTGCAGGCAAAACAAAAAGATTTAAGCTGTCACAAGAATGAGACCATGACAGTAAGGATGGTCACAATGCGGTTAGGACTCCTTGGTACACAGAGTGCAAGCTCTACCAGGTGAGCTATCAGGGCCCGTCGAGTTTGTACAAGTTAATGTCCTAACTTGAGTGTACATTTTCTTTTTACACACATCCCAAAGCCTTACTCGAAGCATACTTTATGATTGTATGGTGGTTGGTAAACCAGGTAATGGTGGTTAACACGTATAAAAAAAATAAAAAAAATAAAAAAAAAGCACTGCTTCATAGGGTTAGTTGTGAGGGAAACATTTTAAATGGACATAGTTTGATTTTCTAGATTCTGTTGTTTTAGGCATACAGGCACAGACTGGAATTCATCACAACTGATGAGGTCCAATTTACAGTAATTGGTGTGGTGATTTTAATCACACAAATAACTTTGTAAAGTCATGTACAAGGCCAAACTTTACTTAGGCACAGCTGAAATTTGCTCTGATGTTGTGTCTTTTTAATCGTACCTACATTTAAGATAATAGAAAACTTGTTACGTCATGCATTTATTGATTAAATTTCACCACAGAGCAGCCGAAGTAATCATGTTAATTTTTGTGTATTTCAACCAGGGATTATAGTGGTCTGGACTGTGTTGACCACTCACAGATCCACCTCTGTAATAATGTTACAGGAAAAGCTCAGATGTTACTGGCCACCCTTTATTGTGGAGTCACTATTAAATGACTCAATGACTGTACAGTATGTACCAATATTTCAGTCGCTTTATAGTGTGCAGTAACAAATTAAACTCACGAGTTAAAACAATCAAGTATTAATGGTGTGATCCCAACACTGGAAGATAGGGTATCGTCCAGTGTTGGGATCACACCCTGGGCATCTTCACAAGGAGCATTGCTGGTGCCTGTGCTGATGCTAATGCAGGAGCATTGCCAAATGTGGACTCCTAACAGTCCTCTGGCCTTTTGCCATCTGGGGATCAAGGAGGAAGTTGAACCATCTGCCTCTCTTCACAATAGTGGACCCCTACATGCTCTCCCTAACCTTCCTTCCTTGGCACAGGGGGAAATTGCTCGGCTACTGAGGAGGAAATGTGAGGATCATCCTTTTTTTAATTCCCCATCTCTTCTCTCTCCAGATGGGAGGTTAATTGTGTAAAGGAAAAGGCACTTTTGCCACATAACCCTGCTGACTACTTTGCAACGACTTTTCATTAAGGCCACTGCTTCTTTAATGGCTCCAACATTACATATGTTCCAATCTTCCAATAATGCCTGAATGTACTCCAGATCAGTACCTATTAATGTTGGTATTCAAGACTATGTAGTACAGTCTTTTAGCTATGCCTGAAGGCAAAGTAGAGTGGGTGGGAGTCCAACTTTAACTGGGAAGAGTGTTAAGTGTTTCTAACACTTAACTTTTCCTGCCTATCCCAATTATCAGTGAGAGGAGAACAAATAAACTCATACTGACCCTGACCTGACAGAAACATACATGCGTATATACTATGAGTAAGAAAATATAAACCATAGCAATTATTTCTACCAGTGTATTTTACTCTTCACCCCTCATAGCTTACAATAGAAAAAAAATATATAGTAATGCAGTATTAGCCTTTTGTTGTTCTGTATTTTCTTGTATAAGAACTACTGTGTTAGAAGTGTTCAGGCTATTTATATCTGAGCCTGACTGCCATGGTTCTGACCATACATGGAAACAATTCATAAATAAATAATAAAACATAAAAATACATGTTAAAAGATTAAAATGATTTTTTGGTGCATGCACAGTATAACAAATCAGTATAACTTGCAACAAAAGCACATGTGTTTTAAATTTGATTTTCCTGTCCAAAGCATCCATTGGTATCTCTTCATTTCACTATAATTTTGCAATCAACTTGATAAGACTTGTAGCTTCTGTAGGATATAATTACACCATTATGGATAAAAGAAGTGTAGTGCAAATCAGACTATGTGAGTGCATCATGCCACAATAATTTAACTTTGAGAATTTAAAAGTAGACAAGATGTTCACTGGACTGTTAATTCTTCCTCTGCAGCAAACAGTAACCAGCCTTGACTCCGTCTTACAGAGGGGTCCTGGAGAGGGCACAACTTAAAGACTAAATAGATCTGGTGCGGGATCCTGAAGGATTTTGTCTTTCCTCCTTTTAATTGCATTTAATTAATCTCCACTTTGTTGCTCTCACACACATTTACATTTTGTGTATTGGCATTGTGACTGCTTAGAATACTAATCATAATGCAGCCCCTGACTAGAGCTGTATCTGGTTTCAGACTTTCAGAGAGCAGACATTTTGTGCGAAATCCGACTTTTGTGCCTTTAGACCTGTCAGTAATCCATTCTTAGACAATTTCAACATTTCATTGCAATGAAGTGTAACTCTAGTCATAAATGAGACACCACTTGCAGTATGTGAATACATTTGCATTTGTCAAGATTTGAATGTGTCTTGAGACCCATTTTACTCTGATCTGCCATCAGAAAACCTTTATTTTTGACAGGAAAGGAAAATGTCTTTTTTACATTCAATTTTGTATATTTTTAATTTAATTTAAGCCATAATGTTTGTTTAGATGGCATTTTTTGTACATAGAGTAGACTGTCAAAGGTTTGTGTTTTGCTGACTGAATTATAAAATAGCATGGGTAAAAATAGGGGCTATTATTTTTTAAAATGCATTTGAGGTTTCAGTTGACAGATTTATGGTGAGGGAGCTGAAGTGATGTTTTGATCTCATCTTGATTGATCTTTTGACATTTTCTGCTGTCCCTCAAGTTTGCCATAGTACTTCATCTGTATTAGCATGGTGTCCCTCAACTGAGAGATTAAAGCTACAATGCGCCCAACATATCTTCTTAAAAACAAACTATTATCTGATCCCATTTCCCAGACCATGTGACTTTTTTAGCTTTACCCTCACAGAATGAATAATAATTTAAAAAAAATGTTGGTGTCTGATAACTTTACCAACTTTGCTATAAGCCTCTTCATGCTTTTGTATATGGAGGACCACAAGTGTCACAGAAATGGTAATAGAGCATTTAATTTAATAATAACTTAATTGTGCAATTATTTTTTACAAATTAATTTCAATTTCCTCAAATGAGGAATTATAAAACAAATTGTGTGAAAGTGAAATATTAATACATTAATAACTAATTGAATTGAAAAAGATATCTCCAAAAACAACATAAAACTGCCAATAATTACATAATGAAAATTGAGAAAACATAACATGCATTCATTTATTTATTGATAAATAATGGGATTTAAAAATCTATATGAAAATGCATGAGTTGAAATTAGTGGATTCACAAATTGAATTAAGAATACAGATTTTCATCAGGCATTTAAAAAGGCAATTTCCTTTCCCATTTGCATTTTCATTCCCCAGCTGCTTTTCTTTTTCCTATTAGCTATTTGATTTCCTTAGTCATTTAGCTTCTCCTTTTAGCCTTATGTTTAGGTCCTGCGATAGTAAAACAATGCAAATGTAAAAAGCTTCTGATTGGTTAGAGAGCCACACATTTATTATACTCAATTTATTTATAGATTTAATTAATTCAGAAGAGAAATTAATTCAGAAACAAATTTATCAATGCCTATTTTTACTGTCCATTTAGTTATTAATGAATGAAATGCTTTATTGCAATTTATGTGACATTTGTTCTTCGGTAGTGTATGGCAGGACATAGTTATTTTTTATTGTCATAGAGAACACTATTTCCCATCCTATGAGTTTTCTTTTGATGATTCTGTCATTCCACAGAAGTAGGGTGCTAGGGCTAAAGGAGCTCCTCAATAAACACCTCTCTGTACAAGTCTCATGCATGCACACAAGCCTTGAGGGCTATATGCAGGGTGAGATAAGAGCTACCTCATTCCATTGCCGTTGGAATCCAAGCTGTACAGATGTGGAAGCACCAGCGATAATAGACAATATTCCCTATGTTTAATCCCCGGAAAATCTGCTCAAGAAACCAAGAAGACTGGCAGCAAACATCTATCCTTGGCTTTGTGTGGAGTTTATGAACAGAATGTTCTCCATGCAGAACATCGAGCTATTGTCTATTTTACCAAGCTCACCACTAAACAAAGACAGCAAAATCGCAATGAAACACTCGGGAATAGGAAACATGTATTCAAATGTTAATGTTCAGCCCAGCTGTCAGACTTCAAAGTTTTCCTTTTGCATACAATACAATACCAAGCCAGCATATAATTTATCTCCATTTTTCACCTCTTTGTCCTTCTGCTTGTGTAATGCCTCTAAAAGAAAGTGATAAATGTTATAAACAGGACAAATTATACATGCCCTGAATACTGACTTAATATTATCAAATGCCACTGTCAAGGAGAAAGGCAAGCAGAGAGCCACCTATGCCCGAGCTGACAGGTGGGCTAGGCACCATGAAGTTGCTGCTGAGAGGATGTGGGATATCTATAAAGGGACAACTGTGTAGCTTTTGACGTGGAACCCTATAACAGGTGGGATCTTGACAGGGGAGAGAGGCAATCAGTCTCTTCATCAATCCCTGTCTTCTAACTCCAGCTCTGACAGCTGGTGTGACACCTACTGTTGCCCTTGCCTGATGGGTGGTCCCCTTTCTGCCTCAATCAAAGGTGACACACATCAACTCAACCTACATACATTGAAAGATCCAGCTGTTTAAAAACTAGTTGTGATCAATGTATGAAATTATATTGCTAACAAAAAATGGTGACCAGATGTGTCTCCAGAGGAAGACTTCGCTGCTGTGCATTCATTAAAGGCAGATATTAGAATACCAATATAATGCGTCATGCATATGTCTATGTTCTTGAATGAATAATATTATTCCCAAGTGCCTTCAAGGAAATTAATATCCTGGATTTTCCATTTAAGAACTTTAGCACAGAGTTTCATCCTTGCAGTTCAAGATCGGTTTTGTTCTTGGAATCAGGTGTACGAAAAACTTTAACATTTTAAATGTCTTTCAACTGGACTTTTGTTTTGTGAGTAGGGACTACAGCATGTTGTTCAACCCTGTGTTGCAGGGTGATGAATAAATGAACCTTGTACTTTTATCTCTCTATTGTGTTTGAGATGATGCATTTTATATATTGAATTGCCACTACTAAAGTTGCACATCAATCTCCATTGATCGCCCATTGAAGAGTGTGCTTCCCATGCCAAATGTTAACTGACTAATAGTAATAGTAGCTAACATTAGCTTGCTAATAGGTTTTTTTTTTTTTTACTTTTTACCAGCTTCAGTTTGGTGACAGCAGTTTAGGCTTTGTAAATTAATCTAATTTGTGTCTCACTAAGAAACACACCAATCCTGTTTCTTTTGAATTACAGTGGGCAATTTAGAGCAAATTAAAATGCATCAAACAGTCTTTATGAGATTTTTTCCTTTGGTATGTCTACATGAGTTGACATTGTAGAAGTTGAGAATGTTGAAAGAAATTTAGGTGCACTCTGACTCAAGTCATACAGTCGCTGTAAAAGGGTTTTAATGCTAAAACATTTCAGCTGTCAAGGTTGAGACTGAAAAATAAACAACTGACTAAAATACCATCAACGTTCACAAAAGAAAGAAGGCTCTTGATAGTTTAAAAAATGTGGCAAAGAGTCCGTTGACATTCTGTCAAAGGCCAAGGTCAGGTCTCTAATGGCTTTCATGTTTTTCCACCCACAGATGGCCTACCTGCTCTGTCTTTCTCCATCAGCTCCTTGACCTTGATTGGCATGTTGGCAGTGATCACTTACACGGTAAGTTGGGACCAGAGACAAGTAGTTGATGTTGTTTCAGGTGTTCAGCTGAGCTATATCTGCACAGTAATTAAGGCTAATCATCCAGTGGGGTGATCTCCAAATCTAACAATCCCTGTAGCCTATTGAGACATCTGACATGATAAAAATGTTTTGAGGTATAGGTATAGGTATAGAAAGACTAAACAGAATAATCTTCCTTTTGTCTGATTTAACCAACAAGATTTTTCGCTCGATATATCATTGTTGATAATGCATGTTTTTGTAAAATATTATTTGAACTGCAGTGCACTTGAAGTTTTTTGTGTACAAATGGTTTCCCATCCTTTTGGTTGTGATGTACCTAGTGATGGAGTGGCCTTTCAGTGTTAGTAATGCCCTGTGATTTTAGAGCTCTGGCATTCAATTGCTCAAATTGCACGGGCTGCTGTCTTTCACCCGAGACTTTTGCATGATTTATGTGCACCCTTCACCCTTATCAACCACTTATCTGCTGCCTATTTATTTATATATATAGATCTACCTCTGTGTCCATTAATATATGCCTATATTTTGATTCTCTCAGCATTCTGCAGTTTTTTATTTTTTCCTGGATCAGACAATTGGCTGTGCTATAACACTTGTTAATGCTGTCCATTTTTCATAGCCATTATCTTGGTAACTAGACTGTGAATATTCCCTGGAGGTGGTGGCGCTGGTGTCAGGGTGGGAGTAACACAGAATATTGCCTACTGGGGAAAGATACAAAAAAACTACTCGGGTATCAACCCAGGGAGTGAGAGTAAAAATGACAGCCAACCCCAATCTATCCAGTTTCTGTTGAGCTCAAAGAGTCCTATTTGACAAATTACACAGCAATTGAATGTGGAGCTCTTAATGAATAATACACAACCTAGTCAAGTAAATTGTAGAACCAGTCTCCCTGAAGGACATATAATCCGTCTCAGCTGGAATTTTATCCACTGTTCTCTCACTTTGCTTCTCATAGTTCTCTAAAGAGTGGATAATTACCCAGTACATTTGGAGGATGGAAGTGCGCTTAGATTTGCACTGACCCCATGTTGCTATTGATTCTGTGAATGCCCTGTGGAAATCGAAACTCCCAGTGTGTCTTTGTTTTTGATCCTTGTTTTGATGAAGTCAATCAAAGAAATCAGGCCTCTGGGCGACAGCAACAACTGCCCCTCCTTCTTGTATTCTCACAGACACAAATGCAGAAACTCCTTTTTATCTCACTTTTTATCCTTTCATCAACTTCATTTGCGCCCTCCTGTGTCCTCTATCTACAAGCGGCAAAACTCTTCTTGGTGGCAACCTACCCATATTTGCAAAGAGCTGTGTGATTTATCATTCTCTACTATGTGTATGTTACTATTAAGCCTGATTAACTTAATGGAATCTAAGTGACGGGTTCCATAAGCAGCGGAAATGTTGTCCATGACTCTGTGCTAATTTATCACTACTCTTTGTGCAGAATTAGCCATCTACCCTTAATGCAAACAACTCTGTGATGTAAACAGTATATAACACCACAGCCTAGAGCACTTAAAATTAATACAAAGTGAAGCGTGTTATGGCTTTTTCTGCTTTTTTAATCTTTTTTTTGACACTCTGGTGCACTCAAATTTATATTTAACCAAAACGTCCTCTATAAGCAAATCGTGTCTTCTGGTCTGACTGTCCACATGTCTGCTTAACTAAACCAATGCTTTCAACAGTTTAAAACTCACTGTGTAGGATTTAGCGACATTTAGTGGTGTAGTGGTGGATCGCAACTCACTCACTTTACCCTCTCCTTCTAAGCATGAAGGAGAAACTACGGTGGCCGCTAAACGCTGAAAAAAACGTGACCGTCGCTATCTAGAGCCAGTGTTTGGTTTGTCCCTCATAGGCTACTATAGAACATGGCGGTACGACATGATGGACTCCATGGCAGGCAGCCTGCTGCATCCGTAGATATAAAGGGTTCATTCTAAAAGTAACAAATACATATCTTCAGATGACTAATTAAGACATAGTTATGCATATTATATTCCATTTCTACCAATAGATCATCTTAAATGTTACACATTGGACCTTTTTAAATACAAAATGTTTTTATTTAAAAAAAAATATAAGTCAGTAAATTTACAACAAATGATACATTAACTTGTTGTCTGTTACTTTGTTCTGGTACAATGGCAGTCTGTAACTGCATTATATCAAATAGAGCTCAATCTTAGATGAGATATCCTTTAAATTCACATAAGTTACATTTATTTATTTCCCCACTGTATATTACTAACTTGCTGTATGTGTACTCATCATACCAGTTATTTAAATAGTTATTTTAAATAATTCCGTGTGTATATCTGTCTATCTTTAACTCAGCAAGTTAATTTCATACAGCTAACTTGCTTTGCATTGAATTTGAGATGAAAGTCATATTCACTTCATACTCAAGCAGTCAGTTTTTAACGGTGAGGAAATGTATTCACTAATGCAAATCCATAATTATGGTAAATTCCTTCCACATTACCTGTTATGTTTGCACATGCATATTGCTTCTATATTATCTCTCACTCTGTTTGATTGTACCCAGCAGTGATGACATGAGACCAATCAGGCCTATCTCAAAGCTCATGCATCATGTGAAGTCCTTTGGATTCATTTAAAAGCTTGGGTAGCATATTGACTTATGACTCTCGTGGCTCTGTGTCCTGTGGACCTACCTTTCTCTTGCTCTTAAATTGCCAGCCATAAGATGCTGATGCTGAACTAAAGTTGGGAAGATTAATGTCTGTTTATCTAATCATAGGCCGGGGATTGACCGGGGAAGATTGGGTCCCTGAGTGAATCAGAAGGGTGTCACTAATACTTACTTTGGGATGGTCCAATCCTTTGATATCTGTTTCTATATTTTATATGTAATTTATAAATGTATACACCCTCTCTTTTATTTTTTTTTAAGTTTATAACTCTGTAAATGGATTTTGAATACAACATGGCATGTTCGATTTATTGTAGTACAACACTTTTTAAAAATTAAAATACTATCAAATATAAGGAAAGAAAACCATACAATTAATATTATCAGGACGCATCATGTGAAGTCCTTTGGTGCTAAGTTAAGTCTTTCTATTAACACCTATTCATCAAGCCGAAAACCCCAGATGGTAGTACCCAATATAGCAACAGATACTGATGAAGGCTTACCATAGCTATATCTGTATCTGTCAAAATTAGTGTGTGAAGGTGAAAAATAGTTTGGGCCAACTAGTGGGTGACTCTGAGTTAATTCATTGAGGTTGGAAAAATACATTGATTTGGTCAATTCCAACGCTTCTCGTCTTTAACCAGTGCTAAACATTGCACTCTCATGCATCCTTTTTTGAAGTGTTTGTTAATCAAAGCATAAGAAATGACTTAATGATTAGGACACCACTGAACCCCTTTAATCTTGCAGTAGGCTTTCTGCAATTACTGTAATTAAAGAAGAGGCGATATGTAAAACTTACAATGGCTTTAGAAACCTAAAAGCATGCTCTAAAGGTTAGTTGCAGCCTCAGTCAAGTCTTTCCATTTTTAAAAGGGCTGCTCGTTGGATTTCTTTTTATAAATTGCTGTCCATTCCAAGCTCCATTTTAAGTGTTTCAGTCACACACAGCCTGAGAAAAAATATGACTCAAAACACACTATTCAGTCCTCTACTGGACAGCTATCAAAATTGTACTAAGCATGAAAAGTAATATTGTGCCAATTGCTGATATATTCATCTAATCCCCCAACCCTGGTATGTACACCCATGTGTATATACTGTACATTCAGCATGCTTCAATTGATATTTGACAGTGTCAAATCACGGCAATGGTGGCTAGATGTGGCTTCCAGTAGCTCCCTCAAACTTAGCTACATTGTTGTTTCAATTCGTTATTTTTTCGCCTTTATTACTGAAGCATGTAATACTTATGATAGAAAACACTCATTAACGTCGGAAAAGGAAGTGCAGGGATTGGATTAAGTGCACCGGACCTTGACATGATCACTTCACTTGGCATCTCCCGATCAGCCAGGCAGAACACCTGGAATACACAGTGGCCCCTGGTGAAGAGGGAAAAGAGCCGGGATAAGAACTAAGACAACCCAGCTTGGGCCTAAGGCTTCTCAGCCTGCCTCTGGCAAATGTCAGTTGCAGGAAAATAAAATGTATGAAATATGACTCAGGCTAACTCAGCAATTGGAAATCAGAGATTGCTTTGCCCTTATCTTTACTGAAACCTGGCTGCACCACAACATTCAAGGGGTGAAGCATGTTCCGCGCTGACACAAAACAAGACTCCGGTAAGAGGAGAGGAGGTGGACTCTGTGTTAACATCAGTGTTGTTTGCTGCTCAAACAGATTTGAAGTGGATGGACAATGTTTACCAGATGTGGAATTTTAGAACTGTTTTACCTAAATTTCACAAGCATGTCCACATACCCACCAGGGGAACAAATACACTGAACCATGTCGACTTAAATATTTCTAGCTGCTACAAAGCCCTCCCACGTCCCCATTTTGTGCTAGATCATCTTTTGCTGCTTCTCCTGTAGAGTTCTATGGTGCCATCTGATAAAAAGGGTCAAACCATCAATAAGAACTAGTAAAGTGTGTGTATGTGTGGACAGCTAAAGGTAAAGCAGCTCTACAGGACTGTTTTGAGTGCACAGACGCAGACTGGCACATGTTCAAAGGCTGGATGTGTAGAAAGGTGAGGGCTTTATCTGCTTTTTGGTCAAGGAAGCATACAGTACCTCCAGAGCACCACAGACACCAGCAGAGACTGGAGAGAGACCTCAACACTAACAACACCAAAGATATATGGCAGGTTATCGCGAACATCACAGGCTACAAAAGCAGGAGTGCCCCCATCATGTGTGAGACCACGTTGCCAGATGAGCTAAGCACATTGTATGCTCACTTTGATCTCTTCAACAAAGAGTCAACTATAAAGTATACTCTGCCTGCAGAAGATCAACTGCTGTCAGTATCCACAACAGATTTTAGAAGAATCCTGGTAAGAGAAACATGAGTAAAGCTGCTGGGCCTGATAACACTCCTTCGACTGTTGTAGACTGTTGTATTGTTGGTCCACATCTGAAGTCTTCTTCCTTGGCCTGACGAAGCTGCTCGATTTTGGCTCTAAACCAGGGTTTGTTGTTGTATGTGCAGTAAGTTTTAGGTCGGCACACACGTCCTCGCGAAAGCTGATATGAGATGTCACAGTGTCATGTCAGGTCTGTAGCTGTAGCCTTACACCCGGTTCATACTGTCTACCTGAGCAGAATGTGTGCATGGCGGAGCATCTTGCTTTTTATTTCGGTGCCCATGTTAACGGATTAGAGCAGTCACACCGCCCGCCTGACTCGCTCGTCTCAGCTGCGGCTGCAGCGACACTTCACTAGAGAGTTTAAGTCTCACCTATTTTTTTTTTTTCAACATTATATCAGCAACACTTACACCTCTCACTACAGTTTTAATATCTATATCTGTAGATATTTCACGGACGTGGAAAACAAATGTAAATACATTTTTTAAACCCAACACCTCCTGTATCTGTTTGAGATATACCATTAACATTAATTATGAGTATTCCATTTAGGTGAGCCAGTTCCAGGTATCTGGTATTGTCTCTATAACAGATATCTTACATGCTCAATCACTGACATGGCTTACTGGGACACTTAATGTGATGATGCCATTGTTGTTGCTGTTATTATTTAATGTTTCATTTTCCTACTTGGACAAGTTAAGTCTTCTAGCCAAAAGCTTTGCTATACGTTTTCAGTCTACGTCAAGCAAACACCTGCTGGTCTTGCCTGTTTCAGAATGAAGGACATGTTAGTAACCAGAGGAAGAAATCCAGATTCAAAAGAGGTAGACAGCGTTGGAATAAGTGGTCAGAAAGAAGATTTTGAAGAGATTTATAAAAGTCAGGCTGTCAGGGCCAATGACAATGCATAGTAGGTTTGTTGAATTTCTCTTTCTGTTCCTACAATGCTTAAGGGAAATTGACAACTTACAGGAATTTTTGTCTTAAAGAATCACTTTGCAAGTTTTACTCAGATTTGTACAACGATTAATAACACACTTGAAATGATCTGTTAATGTCTTTATTATAATACCCAATTCATCTGTAATGACTGGGGCAGGCTTTTCCCAAATTCGTCAAATATTTGCTCTGCTTATTGAGAAATTCATACATCTGATGTTTGATAAAGAGAATACACTGGCACCCTGATAGCTTACCTGGTGGAGCTGGTGCCCCATGAGTCTTTGCTGCAGCAGCCATGGGTCTGACTCCGACCTGTGGACCTTTGATGTGTGTTATCCCCTCTCTCTCGCCCCCCTTCCTTGTCACTCTTTAACTGTCACTATCAATTAAAGACAAAGACAAAAGATTTGAGATAGAAAGAGGTATCCATTTAAGGTGTCATATCGGCTCCGGTCCAGGTGCCCTTCCTGCTGCTAGTTCATTTGCTTTACCTGAAAGTGATAGACAATCATGGTTGACTGCTGTGCAGGAGTTTCTCGTTTCAGCTTGGGACCATGAGAATAGTGTACTAGGTCTGGCGACAGGATATTTTCAACAAGCAAGCAGTACACTAAGCCCCTCAACATTCTTCCCAAACAGTCACACATTTTGGCATCTGCTCCTGTCTGTTTTTATCCGGTACCTCACACTTTGTCGTAAACATGGCGACATGCAGTCAATATTTTGGAGTGAAGCTCCAATATCTGTGAGACAAGAACCAAATAATCTATAATGACTGTAAAGTGCTCATGGAACAGTGTGCCTAACTTCCAAAAGATTCAATGAGCTTGACCATGAAGAAGAGGGACATTTTTCAATACAATCTCCATTTTGAAGTCAGTGAGATCGTATAGCACGTGTCACTGCTGATTAAATAAACAGAACATAACCAAGAAGTATGGCTCATGCTCATTAATGTCACATTCATCATGTTTTTCAGCCAAGTTGGTCATCCATGTCCCAAAAACAATGTGACTTGACCTTAACATGTAAAACAAGTGAGCAGAAAGAGCTGAGTGGGGACAACTGGAGTTTCAGGACTGTTTGCTCAAATGTGCAAATATACCAACATTCAGAATATGCACTGGAGGGTGCAGGGTTTTGGCTATTTTCTATTACATTTAAGTTTCTAATATAAAACATATTTAATTACTTACCCCAGCAGACTGATTAGATTTTTTAAATAATTCATTAAATCATCTGCCTAATCATCTCTTCGTTTGTCAGTTAGTTGATATGAATGTCAGTCGCCACAACCTATTTGCACTGACACAGTCACACTCAGGGAGGCACACAATCCAAATAAAATTTTGAAAAATCATACCATTACTAGGGATTTAACTACACTTAACTCACAACTAAATGAGATATGAGATGACAAATTATGACTGAAAAAGGTTCCTTTATCTCTCAGACAAAAATCTACGAAATATATTTTCTCTTATATTTTCTTTATCAAGTTATAGTATCCATTTTTTCTGAGGTATGGTATAAACTGTGCAAACAATGCAATTATTAAAGTGAAACTGATTTCTTTGCGCCTAGATACAGCTACTGACACGAATGACATTGACGTCGAACAAGAAAAGTCCAAAGTAGATAGTGCCCTCTACTGTTTAAAAAGAGTATCATGATTAATTTCTCATCGCACCTATATGAATCTTCATATACTCGTCTCGCAATATAGTGTTACATTCCTAACATTTCTACAGAATTTGAGTGGAGAAAGCATGATGATCATTATGACCTCTATTCGCCATCTCATTTCTAATACACACATAGACACTAGCAATGCTGTTCTGCATCAGGTTTTTGGAGCTTGCGTTGTTTAATGCTCCAACCAAACAAATTGTCCTATTAATCAAATGGGATTAGGGAAACCAGCATAGTAGTGGCAGTTCTGGCAAAGCTGCAGGATTTATGGGAATGACTATGTGTAAAGTTTTATATCTTGGAATGCATGAGCTTGGTTATTTCACATTAGTGGAATATCTAAAAGACAACTTGTACACTGAGTAGTTCTAATTAGCCACATTATTCAGGATTGAACTCTTTATCAAAAGGTATTGAGAATGTAGGGGGGGGGGACCTCCTCTCCCTCCTCCCTTTTGGCTCCACCATCACAAGTAGAAAGAGCAACAAAGAGGAGGCTTGTGTAGGAGACCCATGTCCACCTAGTCCTCTCTCTTCCCACTCAGCAGTCACATGACTCTCTTTGAATGATTTCAGCCAGTAACTCCCCCCTTAAACAACACACACACACACACAGAGTCACACATACATACACACTCCCATCCATCCTGCTCCGAGCTATTTCTGGTTATTATTGACCACAGTGGGTATTAAAATAACTTTAATGAGCATGCATGATTATGTGTGAACTAAAAATGTACACTCCAGGAGAGAGACACCTGTGGGCTTTTTCCCCCGCCTTTTATATTTCTCCCATGTAGTTGCACATTTGAGGGGAAGGGAAATGTTTCTCTTGGGATCTGGGACAGGTTTTCCTTTTATGAGTGTGTTTGATATTCGGGACATGCTCCGGCCTTAAGAGCTCCATGATTCATTGCAGGAGGCGACATTGGCCCGTAGCAGAGATCCACAGCAGAGACTAATAATAGTCTAGCCTGACTTAGTATCCCATGCGACTCTCTTAACACTACCTAACACTCAGAAACTAGTAAAAGTTGTTTTAGAAAATATAGTCTCTGACGTTTCCCCACTTGAAAAATAGAAAAAAGAGGGCAGCATCTTTTGACACGGCTGAAAGTATCTTTGCACAAAAGACCCCATTGTTTTATTATGAACCCATAAAATGGCACTCATCTAAGTTGGTTAAAGCGAGACGGCACAGGGAGAGCAAGACAACATCGGCGTGTTGCTGTTATTTTGATTTGTATTGATTGGTCTGTTTCCTGGTATTAGAGATGCCCCTCATGTCTAATTAAAGTTCAAGCATCCCGTCAGGAGATTGAATTCCACTGATAGCTGAAAATGTCTTTTGAATTTTGTGCACATATTCTCTCTCTGTCTCTCTTTGCTGTCACTGCTTGTAAATATGTCTGTCTCTCTGCATGTCTGGCTATTGTTGTTTATTATTTACACCTTTTTATGTACTTTTAATAGAATGTGTATTCATTCAAATTCATGTCATTCAACATTGATGGCACCTTGATGCCCCCTCCTCTAACCCAGATTTTCTCCCTAAGATTCTACTTATAAAAATTGCATCAAATCATGGATCGAGGATAGTGCTGTCACATGGGGGCACTGTTAAGCTGTAAATTGCATCAGAGTGATATAAGGCAGTGATATCCACACAAAATGGTTGCAGCAAGTTCACCAATAAACCTCAGCACAATTATAGATTCCACCATTTAATCTTTTTTTCCTGTACCAAAAATGACATAGCCTAGGAGGCCAGGAACTATATGATTTGTTGTGTGTGTGTTTAGTTACTCTCATTCGACTCTTGTGTTCCACATTGTGATGGGTTTGTCGTCAGGCATGCATGGGTATGTGTGGGTGGATACACGTGCCATATGTGCCGTCCCACTATGACAATAATGTCTGATTATAATGGTGGGTTTGCACTGTCTTTCAGGCATACGGTATGTCTGTACTGCCTTTGAATCTGATAAAAGGCACCCGGAGTGTGGTGTATGAACGCCTGGAGAACACAGAGGACATTGATGATGTCGAGCATCAGATAGAAAAGCTGAAATCCAAGGTTGGTCTCACCACATGAAACAAACCACTGGCACTATATGTGACATAAATGCACACAATTATCCTCAAGTCTTGGAATACCTTAATGGAACAAAGCCTAGAAGTGAAAATACATAATCATTACATTAACAGTTATATGACTGAAAATATTAGAATGCTTGTTGTTTATTTTTTACATTTCCAACTAATCTAGTGTATAATCATGCATTCTTTGAAAGCTACACATACAGAGCCTCCAGCCGATCAGTCCCTCTTCCTTATCTTTCTGCTGTGCTACTCTGTCTTAGCATGCAATTATGGATGGTTAGCATTGTCCTTATCATCCGACCCCTCGAATGGAGGCAGCACACAAACAGGGAAAGTAAAGAGTCACACATCTGTTAGTTGCCAGTGTCATTATGAAGTTGAACATGAAAGAGCAGTGTATTCGTCATTCCTCCGCTACCACCATAGATATATTTACTAAATACCACTTATGGTTATGTTAAAGATTACATATACAATAGAAAAGTAGTGCATCATAGAGCACACACAAAAGAGTTTAATTTTGTAGTTGAATGGCAGCAGTTGAAATAATAACTTAATATCATTTTATTTTCAATTACTAAAGGTAGACAAATACCAACTTTTGTAGATATGTAATATGTAATAGGGCTAATTGTTTACTGGCAAATAAAATATACCTAAAACTTTGGAACACAATAATTTATTGCTCTACATATCCACCTGTTGACATAATAACTATATCCAAAGAAAATGTTTAGTATGATTTTTAGGCTTGGTCAATAACTTAAATTTTCCCTTTATTTTAGCTTTTTACTTTAAATACTTTGATAAAGCTTCCAGCTATGCCATGTCAGAGGTGAACCAATATGTGTATTTGTTGATTTATTTGGTTGTCTGTTGGTCTTCCCGCCAGTGTAATGATGGACGTCCCCTTTCATCAAGGGACAGACACAACCTGCAGGAGCTTGAGGGCAAACTGCAGGTTCTCCGGCGCAAGGGGAGACACCTGGAAATTGCAGAGAGGAACTGCTGCACTAAAGTGGGCAGTGCTCTCAGACCTCTCAAGGTGAGTCTTTGTTATGGAATTGGCTCGCGTTCAAAGAAGTGACGTATATGTCCAATATGGACTGTGTTGTATACAAAGGCAGGCTTTCGTTGTCTGTTTCTTGGATGTTACCTTACAAACACCATTAATTTGCATTGTTCAGGCCTTGTTGTAATTGGTTTCTCCGCATCGGTAGGTTAGCGCTGCACAATACAGCTAATTAGTTGTTTTTTTTCCCTTAATAGTTGTGTAATTTAAAAATTCTTGTTTGGCCAAGTATCATGCTGATTTTCGCCAGCTTCTTCCTCCCCAACTGTTTCTTTGTGCTCAAGTTCTAATCTGGACTGCTCTAGATTTACTTTTAGTTCTACTTTACACAACCGCATATTTACATGATTCCCACGGGTAGTCTCTTCACCTAATTTACTCTGAAGTCTCTCAGGGAGTCTCACATTTTTCAAGCAGGATCTCATGGTTCCCCAGGGATAAACCAAAGGAACCACAAACTTCTCTTTGATTTTACTTTTTTGGGTTGGGCAACCAATACCTGGACCTCATATTTGTTGTTGTCCCAATATTACAATTTGACCAAGGGTGATTGTGGAACATTTTGGTACCAACCCTTCCTCTGGCCCAGTCCAAGCATCTGAAGGTGATGCATTGCTGAGCATTACTGAGCGATTTATAAAGTGCAGCACAATTCTGCCCCACTGGTCCCTAGTGGCTACTGTAATTAAATCATACACAACCAGCACCAGCACAAAATTACCATACAAAATTAAGTTCTGGTATAACTGAACACTGAAGTTTTACAGTTTCATACAGTACTTTGTGCAGCTTAAACCACCAAGATTGTATGAAAAGTGCATCCTAGGGACTTTGAGCACAACCATTTCACACATTTCCATGAAGCTGCTTATTCCCATCATTTCTAACAACTCACTGTACTCTTATCAAACCAAACCACTTGGTTACAAGAGCGCAGCAACTGTAATTATTTGCATCTTTGTAGTCAGTTTGGCATAAACAGCTTTGCATTTTTAATTTCCAGAAAAATAATTCATTTGAATTTGAGAAAACCCAGAGGTGGTAGTGATCAATATGGCTTAGAATAACACAATCATGGCTATAGTTATTCTGATAAATGTGATGGTGGTGGGTCAGGAAATAAGTTATTGTCCTATACCAACAGTTTTTTCTGTTTGTATATGAGATAGCTGGGGCAATGCACAGTCAAAATAGGTCCTACTGTTTTCAAATCACATTTTCTGTATTAAGGACAGGACGAGTTACAACATAATTCTTCTAGTTCACATTTTACTTTCCCACTGCTATTCATTTTCCAGTATTTTACTGCACTGCAGGCATGCACAAACATTTTTAACCAGTGTCTGTAACAGTTTGTCTTTAACCAAGGGAGTTTCTGCTAATGACAGTCCCCAGACTCAAATTTAAACAGTAATGAGTTGGGAGATTTATTTACTGTATACTCAGGCACTGGTGTAGAGTGATAAGCCAAATGATTGTGATTCCTCCAGAGCAGTTGTGCCACTGTTTCTCAAACACATGCTGTCTTTTGTTATATCAATCCTGGTGGTGAGCGAAAATGACTTATTGAACATGCCGAACATCTACTACAGTTAAAAAGTGCCTGGACCTCACAAAATCATTAGTGTTTTGATGTGATCATAAAACAAAGGTTTAAAAAAAGCAGAGCTGTTTAGATAAGTAATTTATATAGTAATGGCATTTTCTTTCTTAAAAAAACAATGCCATCTTTTCATTCAGTATATGTAAATAAGTCCCATCTTTTCATGAATTAAAAACTTTTTTTATAAGTACTTGGTACAGTATTTCACTTTTTAATAGCCAAAAACTGTGTTTTCATAACAGAGTTACGCATTTGCTTTCTTTGGCCTTTGTTTGGTTTAATTAGGAGATAGGCCAGCTTAATTAGTATCTTCAAAAGTGTTTTCCCTCCTTTTGGCCACCTAACTTTTTAAGTTGTTCATATCAAACAATAATGACAAAAAGCGTGGTCATTATCAGTTTCCTGATTGTAATTGATGCTTTGCTACAATCATTGAGAAATTACATAGAGATGTTTTGTAAAAGCTAATTTGGTTGAATGATTGTGTTTTAATAATTTAAATTACTTTATTTTCTTAGAATTGTTCGCATCTAACATGGCTATTTCAGAGGTCCTAGCATGCTGGGAAGACAAAATAAGTACACTAATTTACATTCAGTTTCATCTGACCATCCATGTGATTAGCATGGTAGAATTGTAACTAGTGATCAGTCTTAACTCAAATATCAACATTGTGCTATACATCATTAAAACATCATATATTTTAATTGTACTATATATTTTGCCATATGTGTTCGCCTGTTTTTTTTTTTTCCATCACTATGGCTGGTTCAAGATATTTTAGCTAAGGCCCCCTTGAAGGCGAGTGGTTGAAAGGATTTATTGCCTTTTTGGCTGCCACCCACCTTTTGCCTCCCTGGTTGCAACCTCCCTACTCTGTCTGGGCTGTGCCATTGCTTCCCCCTGTCACCTTAGGCAACAGTGCCAAACTGTGGCTGGCCAAGCCATATGGTCTCTCCTTGACAAAAGACATGACAGAAAGGTTATATTTGCTGACCCAGTAGAAGCCTTTGAAAATATACCTTTTCCTTTATTGTTGTTCAGTCACAAGGTTCAGTACGAGTGCAGATCCCTCCTTTGGTTGCGGGTGCATGTCACTGTTTTGTATTGTAATGTAATGTAATGTATTGTATTTATTTATTTTTCAGATACTGTTGGGTATTTTCTTTATCCTGGTTGCACTGCTGTTCACTGTTGCCCTGTTCATTTCAAAGTAAGTCATTACATTCCCTGTAACACAATACAGCTTACAAAACTGTGTCATATAAGGCAGGCAATGTGACAAAAATGGACAGTGTAATTGTTTCCTTTGACTATATTTATTAATATGTAATGCTGGAGATATGTCCATATATTTAAGTTTTTCTGTGTATTTCAGTTTGGATAAAGCTCTCCACTCTGCTGGCATCAGCTCCGGGTTCATAATCTTTGGCACCAACCTAACCAATCCTCTGAATGAACTTCTATTAGCCTTACAACCCGTGAGTATCCTCTCATCTCTCATGGTGAAAAGATGATTATCCTCAATTAACATATGCTTAAAGCCATATTTTCTTGTCTTTATCATCATTAACCTAAATGGAGCATCATTTAAAAGCTTTATTCTTGGCTATCAATAAATGTACTTGATACTGTTAAAAGCTTGAAGCCTATGTTCTTCAGTACACTGCAAGTATATGCTTCAATATACTGCAGGTGAACTTTAAAATAGCAAAATCTCAACTACATGTGCGGCTACATACAATAAATGAGTCAAATTACCTGAAATTCTTGTTAACATTACGTCCTTTTAAATATGGTCTGATAGGCACCACTTATATTTAAGACCAAAAGATTAAAAAAATTACAAAACTGGAAAATATACCCACATAAATCATAGCTAGCAAGTGTATTTTACATTCTGCAATAACTTCAAAATAATTGAATGTTCCAGTGGAGCAGGGCTGAGAAAATTGGCAACATGACAAACACAGTTAGCACAGCTATAATGTTGAATGGCAAGGATAAAAGATAGTTTGTACACTCTACAAATGCTGACCTCTGAAAATGAACACAGACATGAATCCACACTTTTGTGACAATCTTAAGAAATATGTGTTGTATGGCTGGCTCAACGGTTTTCTCATGAACCAGCTGTTGATCTGATTCTGAATCCACTCATTTACAAGGTCAAAATGATGCAAAGGTTGTTACTGAGGAAATTTTACAAGAATAAAACCCTCTGCATTAGAATACAGTCCAATAGCACAACTACTATCTTTGTAAACAATAATGATTATCATATACTGTGCTCAACACCATCAGGTTCTCTGTTGCGTACCCAACCAAATGTTTGTTTTTTTTTTAGATATAACTGATTTAGGTGGCATTGCTGTCTGATTGATTTTTAAAACCTTTTTAAACAAATCTAAAACCACTGTCAGTGTACAGTGGCTCAAGGGACACTTTGTCCCTTCAGACATTTCTTGTGAACCACATATGAAAATACAGGGAATAAAAGGTGTAAAAGTGCAGTGCAGTTAGACTATCTGCATTATGCACACATATAATTTCTGTTCACAGGTAATACATTTTACAAATGATAAATAATTGGCAACATGTAATTGAATGATTTAGCTAATATTGTGCGACACAGAACAGGCAATCTAAAAGATAATCCAAAGGAAGCCTTGGTGAAATTTAGAAACTCATGAATGCTGATTAATGCATTTAATTTTATTTCTTTACTTTACTGTTTTTCTGTGCTAGTGCCATTTAAATAATCAAACCATTTCAATTGTTAGCTGTTGAAAAGTCAAGAAGTCAGTTTTGTAACTGGGGTTTGAATGTGTACTTGGAGCTTAACAAATTTGAGTATTTATCATTCTTGACATCAGATTCAAAATGGAAATATGAAACCATAATCAAAATCTTCTTGAAAATGTCCAACGTTACGAGCTATACGTTAGCCTCTGTCATCTTTAAGGATTTATATTGCATCAATTAACCTGAACACCTTCATGTATATACAGTTTTAACAATGTGGTTAAATGACCAAAGCCTTGTTTTTAAGTTTTTAAAATATGAACTCTTGAGATTGACAGATTATTGAATCACTACCACTGCTTCTTTCATCCAAGTCATTGCGGCATCCTCTGTTAAACTTTGTATTCTACAGCAGAATTTAGAAAAAAATGACTGACAGCTCAGACCATTAAAGAATTGCTTCATAGAAAGTGGCATTGATTAAATGTCTAAGGCCAGTGTTTAGAAGTATGACCTTGGTATTTAAGGAATTAAGTGCACCATACCCAGAATGGGATACAGTATGATATAGGGATCAGGTTTGAGGTTAAATCAGAACTTTTCATCTCACAGGACATAATCGATAAATATTTATGTTACATGCACTGTGCATTATGTCTAGGCTTTATCTGTAAATAATCAATTAACTGATTAATAGGAGAGGTTAGGAATACAGTTGTTGGTGTTCAGCTGTCTTGATTAATGTTTGAATGCACTGACCAGCTCAGATGTGCCTTAGATTAATCGGGCTAGAACAAGTGGTATCGATAGTTGTTCATTAACAGCTCCAAGCATCTTCGAGAGGCATCGCCAACCTGAATGTTTGGCTCTGAAAGTACTAATGACTTCATATGTGTCTTGTGCATGTGAGAGAAATAGCTGACCACTGTCATTGGTATCACAGGTTTTTCCATTGGATTACATCCTGATCACAGTCATCACCATGTACTTCGTAGTCACATCCATGGCTGGCATCCGCAACATGGGCATCTGGTTCTTCTGGATTAGGGTAAGCAAAGCCCCTTACTTCTATGTTACCTGAAACATTTTACAAAAACACTATTAATTGCACATCAACATTTTCTTCTTATTTCTTTTCAGCTGTACAAAATAAGACCGAAGAAAACTCGCCCCCAGGCTCTTCTCTTCCTCTGTATGATTCTCCTCTTGATTGTCCTACACACCAGCTACATGATCTACAGCCTAGCCCCACAATATGTCATGTATGGCAGCCAGAAGTATCTTGTGCAGGTGAGGGAAAAAACGTATGTACATTTTTGTGCATGTCTTGGATTTTAGTCTCACTGATGAGAGTTAGCTCTGAGGATGTGGCTCTAACGATGGCAGTGTCGGTCAGTCAGTGGGTTCAAACCATTTCTGTCTGTAGGCAGCAGCATGGTCTCTACAGGCTGGTAGCGGGGCTTTCAGACTCTTGTTCTTTCTTGGATTCTGTCTATCTGTATTAGTCTATGCGGCTGTTACTGTGTGGATCTGTTGTTTGACAGTCTACCCTCTGTGTGATCTCTCTCTCTCCTCTCTCTCTCTCTCTCTCTCTCTCTCTCTCTCTCCTCCCCCCTCTCTCCTCTCTGTGTGGGTGTATGCATGTAGTTTAGATGCACCCTCGTGTCTATGCTTCGTCTCAAAAAATCTTTTAAACAACATAATTAAAATGAACTGCACTGTTGTTTTTGCTGAAACATCCTCTTTTTAAATGAGAGAAAATAACCTTTTTAAAACCAGCTCCATATGACTCACAGGGTAAACGTGGCTTATTCCTCTCTGCTTTCACCTACAGTATTTGAATACACGGTATCTCAGTGTCATTTTTATCAGCCTAGCGTATATAATGTAGCCTGTGTGTAGTAGATATTAAGAATTGTGCACAGTAAATTGCTTAAACCGATGCCTCTTTAGTTAATTTGGTGATCTTTTAAGTTCTTCTAAGTGAAAGTAAGGATGCTGTTTGGGTTTACTGTAAACTAAAATAAAAATTATGTCTATTTATTGAATTTATCCATGGCAAAATTCAGAGCCTCCAGGTGATTTTTTATTTAGTAAAATGTAAAGTAATTATATAATTTATGAGTAAAATACTGCTGCTGTTGGGTGTTATTCTAGCATTACACATTTTCAGCTATTATGGTTGTATGGTCGATCTTCTCAACCCACAATCTGTTTGTACCACATGAAGTAGTTTGTTGTGTTCCTGTGCTAAACAGGTACATGCCTCTTGTGTTTTTTGATCAGAGTCAGATGCCCTCAGCAGGTCCTACATCTGGGAATGCTACTTTGGGCACCACGAGGATCTGTGATGCCGAGGCGCCTGAGGGTAAGTCTGTCATCTCTGCTAGCACAGCAAGGTAGCACTGGTCCAATAGTGAGATGTTGGAAGAACTTACAAAACATCATCAAAGATTTATTCCTCACAAGTCAAGTCGGTACAAGAAGAAAGGAAGGACAGCGTACAACCCGGCCCTATCATGTAGAACACTGTTCAGTAATCTTTATCACCATTCATTATTCATTAGAGGGAATAATACCAAGGACAAACATTTGGAAATGCAGCACATGGCCTCTTGCTGTCTCCATGCCAACGCTTATTACAGTAAATCATCCATGAAAACACAAATGTGTGAATGTACATCATACCCGTGAGCTTTATCCATTACTTTATTCATTTGTCAAGTGCTCAAGTAAGGCTCTTCGTGGTGGTGGAGCATATAAGATGCAATTGTCATATTTGGTTCGAAAGCTAGATTGTCTGTCTGTCTGTCTGTCTAGTAGACAGATAAATCGATAGTCAGCCTGTAAACTATCATTCTTACTGTTACGTGTTCTTTCTTGTTTTCTACTTGACTGACTTTTAGGCCTAGTAGAGTCAAGACAAGCAAAGACAAATCTATCTTTAACCCATTGGAATGTGTGAGCTCAAGTTTGTTTGTGTTGGTGGAGGTGTATTAGTCTGGGGGATAATTATTTTTTTATTCAAATTAATCAAGGTGTTGGACCACAAATGCTCTCCCAGGAGACATAGAATTGCATTGCAAATAGAGTACATAATGAGTGCTGATGTGTGTAAATGTCAAGTGTGTATATATAATGAGAAAAAAAGTAAAGGTCATGTGACCACTTACAGAAACAGGTTTTTACACAACTCTTTACACTTTTTAATTATAGTCAATTAAATATTAAGCATGTTTGATACTTTCTAAATATTTTACATTTTCTGTTATATTGATACTTTGACTGTGCCTTAAAACTTTACACTATTGTCTCTTTAATCATATGTAGGAATACAAGGAGCCTATATTAGGGTCATTTACAAAAAAAACATTTTCTCTCTTAGGACTTGTATGTTTTGTTTTCATTTGATCTCTCTAGATGGATCTCAAATAAATTGGAGATTAAAAATAGGTTTTGTTCAAATTCTATAGTCTTTAATCATAATAAATTCCATAAATAGCATCAAATTCCCAGACTGCTGTACTAACATGTAGTGTTTTTTGTGGGACCACTGGAAGCAACTGTAGGTGTAGAAAATTAGAAAATGGACTTATATATAATACTTGCTAGCTACAGACATGTTTTATACATGTCTGGAGCTATTTTGTCAATTATATTATGTATTGCATCTTTGGATTCCATGTTCGATAATATTATCTGAAGAGTTTCCTATAGTGTGTCTATTCTTGTGAAGACGTACCCTGTAGTGCCTCCCGTTGCCATTAACAGATGCATGTGAGTCGGGACCTGTTGTGGCGTGTGTGAAAGTTCGGAATGACAATGAGGTGTATGCCTGAACACTGCAAAAAAATGTTAGACGTAGCCATTATTGACTTGGTTTTCATGAATAATTTTCACTTTATCCAACAGCACTGAAAAATGCACTAAGACAGGGCAAGACAGGCAGAAAATAGAACGATAAAGCAGAGGAAGAACAGTAACTGCAGAGATCAGAGGCAAGATATTTTTTGTTTACAATGTGTAAACACATACATTTAGGTTCTCTCCTACCTGTGTGTAGGCTACACTGTTTTTTTTACACTTCGTAGCAAATGAATTACCTAGCTGTCTTGGAAAACAAGTTGATGTTGACTCACTGTGGACATGAAAGATGCTGCTTCTGCATGTTGCTGTATTTTTTATATTGCAGTTATAATATAGGAAGAGGTGGCATGCTGTTGGTAAATTGCAGAGTCAACATATAACATATGCCTCAATTCAGAACACTGCACTGCATATTCAAAGCCACATTATATGACACACCATTTGTTATGAGACACAAGGTATATCCCTCTAAAAATGTAGTCCTATACTGTTTGTCTCATTGAAGTAGTATTTTCTTATAGAAGTATCTCCTAGAAGCTACATAGAGTACAGAGTACAAAGAGATTGTATATAATTTATGCACAGTGTTGAAAGTTTCTGTTTCAGTCACTATCTCTAGTTTAGTATATGTTTAAACATTATGCTGTAAAGAAATCACACAGAAATGGCACAAATAGGTTGCAACATTTCCATTAGTTCATCCTCAAATTAAACCAGTGCATTTGGTTTTGTCTGCTCTTCTATCCACAACATGTAAAGAAGAGCCAGTGCAGTGACTGGGGTAAACTGAAATATAACTGAAGACATGATAAAATATGGTATCTTTTACTGCTTTTATTGCTTTTACTAACTTTTTATTTGTTAATATTACTATCCTACTCAGCATATAAAAACAACTGCACTTCACTAAACACTTGCTGATGTCTTGCTCATCTAAAAAGGGACAGCTTTAGAGCTATTAGCTTAACTACAAACTGAATAAAAAAGAACCAGAATTGTTTAGCATATGTGGTTGGGCTTTCAGCAGTGGGTTTAGTTCATGGATGGTAACTATATCAGGGTTATACAACAGGGCGGTGTTAATGGACTAATGTCTTTGACATTTGAAAGAAGGGTACACCTCTTTGGGCCCTTTTCTCATGAATTAGCTGCACTTAGTACAAAAGACAGTCAGTGGTTGCTATATCCCTGGCTAGAGTCCCAATGCTGAGCTGGAGCTTATTTAGAAGCCAGTGTGATTAGGTAGAATCAACAGTTGTTTTGCTTATGATGAAACTGATTTGTTTTCTGCATAATCTGGAATATACAATACATCAAAATACCCTAAAATGAATATTTTAATATTCTAAAATTGTACTTCCACCCTAAATATGCAGCCAAAGATGGATTGCATCCCATTTTTTAGCTGTTAAAACCTTTGTCACCATGTTGTCCATATACTGTATAACAGGAACCAATTTTATACCAAAAGACAACAATCCACCTTTGCAATTACAACAGTTTAAACTCAAATTTTAAAGTAAATAAACGACCATAAACACGATGATTAATCGGTTGCCTTTAAAAGCATTAACCTACGTGTCCTCCAGCTATGTTTACATGTGACAATAATGCCAATACTGCCAACATACTGTAATTACAACAACTGACAATCCCCCATAACACTCTTGTTTACATGATTGTTCAGACAAAATATGAGGAAATTAATTGGCTTTTCTTTGTTTGGTTGTTTGTTGTTCACAAACAAATAATTTGTTTCCTGTCCCATAACTATCACAATTAATGTAAACAGATTTAGCCATGACTCTGCACCGCTTCGTCATCTTGTTTCATTGCAGCCTGGAAGCTGTTTTGTGTCTGACCAGAAGAGGAGTTATAGATAGCTGGATTAAGTAAGTGAAATAAAGTCAAATGTCTTCCTGGCATCACAGGTACCTCAGTTAGTAAGAACAGAATGAAAATCAGTTTTTGCCCAAGTAGTGTTAATTACTGAGGGCACGTGTCAAAGGGATAATTTACGCAGACGATTTGGCGCTCTTCAGTACTGCTATATTAAAGGAGTCGTGGAGTCACTAGGACAATGGCCAGCAGTATTTCTACTCTCTCTTTTGATCAGCTTTGGGAAACTGGTCCTATTTTGGCCATCTTGGAAATGACTCCTGCTTTCATAACAGCCGTTGTACCACCTACCATGAGGAGGAGGAAGTGTCAAGCCGAGACAACACATGCGACTCAGAGGGAATACAATCAAAAGCTTATCAACTTATATACTGTAAAAAGTAACAGGTGAATTTGTGTGGTGAAAGAGTGCAACTCTTTCTTTCCCGGTTAATATAAAGCGGCTTTCTTTCTAAAGGAGAGAGTACCTCATCAACTGTTGTTATGAGTTGTTTTTATTTTTTTTACAATGTTTGGCAGTAAAAAGGTAGGGGAGAGGGGTGGGTGTAGAGGACTAAATAGATACGTGCCAGTCAGTCAACCATCCAGCTTATCTAAATGTACTTCTCTAATCTGTGCTGTTTGACCATTTGTACTGCAGTTCCTGTGGTGTGAAGAATGTCAATGTAGACCCAATATTTAGGACAGAAACCGAGGATGTTCTGCTGATTGTAAATGGGAAAACATTGTTATTATGGCATTTGCATTGGTGGTTTTGGTGTATTTTATTATTAATAAATAAAATACAAACACATAGGAGAATATGTAACATATGTACACATGCTGTACCCTTCTATACCAATGCTCACATTCTCTAAGCCTGAACCTTACCCTTATTTTATTGACATCTGTTACATAAAGTTGGCAAGGTGTGTATATTTTAATATTCAAATAACGGTTGCATATTGGTAAGCTCGTAATTGTTTAAATTCCAGAGCCACAGCATTAAATGCATGCACAGCATGTATGTTTTGTAAACATAGAAATTGTATTCTTCATGATATGTCTCCTGGGAGAAAAAAAACCCATTAGCGTAGCATGACCAAGAGATTCACAAACATGGATCTCACTTACATTTGCATATTCCCTAAATGTCAGGCTCCTCGCTGTGTATGTGAAAAACAAGAATGGGAATACACTGTGGTAGAAAAAGGCATCAAATTTGAAACAGGCTCTGGAAGGACATCGCGTTTAAATAACCCTTAGTGTGACACTATCAAAAGGACGAAGGACAAGAGGGCAGAGGCCAAGCTGGTGACTGATTGGCTAGTTGGTCACAGTGGTGTAATGACACTAACATCTTGGTGAGCAGGTACTCAGTGTCAAGCTCTCAATTATCTACTCTAAGGTCATTACCACACCATTACTCATTTACTCAGCATAATGGTAATTAATCCTCTGGAATTAGTTGCCATGGCCCCAAACTACCTGAACCCTGAAGTCTTCTTCAGTATGTGATTTAAAACACTGGGTATTTTAAGGAGAAGAAGAATCTGAGTATCTGCTCTGTTTGTGCATCACTGGAACTTCTGTTCTCTGGAGCTCTGTGCAGCAGCGATGCTG